GGTGGGCCGTTATCTGTATTAACGTGCTGCGTTAACGCTGATAACATATATAGTATATAGTATACAGTATACATACATACACACACACACACACACACATATATATATGTATATAAAAAATGTGTGACATTAGTTTCTTTATTTTCATAGAATTTTTTATTTATTACTTGTATCATCTAGTATTAAGAAAATGTGAAGGTCCTGGGTTGCGTCAAAGCCCATATCTTCATCTTATTAAGTAAACTGAATTCAAAGAGCAAAACACGGTATATTTAGGGAGTTATCAATAACAACGCATCTTATATTTCAATTCAGTTAAATTTCAAAAAACGTTATAAACCCCAAAGGGAATTAAATGTTGATTTAACTCATTAAATGTTTTTGAACAAGTTGTTGTAGGTGTTAATAGCTGAAGGACAGATCTTCTGTACTGCGATCTGTCTTGCACTGGATCTGGAAAGGCCTGTTAATTAAGGCACCTTGTTGTTGTTTAATAATCCTGAGAAGAGGAGGCTCCTTTTTGTGCATCATGTTCTTCACTTTTTTGAGAATTGTTCTTTGAGCAGAGCTATTCCGTCATGCATCTACTTAAAGCAGCACAATTATAGAATGCCCAATTTACAGTGTAAAATTAAAAAAGAACAGTCATCTTAAAATGCTAACCTAAATGTTGCATTATGGTTTTAAACAAAATCTTTGAGGTATTTTTTTGTCATTATCCACATTTCAGCATACGTAAATACCACGAAGATGAGGTGTTTTTATGTAACGTTATCACACATCATCTAATACCAGCCCATGCCTTTTCAACTGATGTGCAAATAAACATCTGGTTGTGTATGACTGATAAACGTAAATTAATTTTGCAAATATATTAGGTTGGTTTATTTAGGGACTCCTTCACTTGTTTTCTCTGTTGAATATATTTTTTTAAAGGAAATATACTCTGCTTTACTATCAGTTTCCTTTCTTTTTAACTCATTACATCCTAAAATGTGCTTAACAGTACTTGGAAGACCTTGCTGGTATAGCAAATCCTTGACCTGGAAAACCAAGGCTTTGACGCACTTGCAGCTGCAACGGTGCCATTTATGTATGAGGTACATGTGCGTATGATGCAAGAGCAAAAGAAGAAATACCATTTCCTCAAGGCTATGACTCTGCAATAAGAGTCCTCTAGAGGTACATGAGAACTGTTCCAGGTAAGATAAAGTGATATTGCACACGTTAATAATTCCTGCTAAAAAAACAAAATAGATTGAATACATTTTTATCAAAATGTATTGTACACAAACTCTTATAATTAAATCCATTCATCCATCCATCTTCCTCCGCTTATCCAGGGTCGGGTCGTGAGGGCAGCAGCTTAAGAAGGGAGGCCCAGACTTCCCTCTCCCCAGCCACTTCTTCGTATAATTAAATAAATATGCTTAACAGAAACTGTGTTATTCCATCATCTGATATGGCTATAATGCTAATGACACAATCCCATCTGACGCTGAAATCTGGAATTTTTGTGGACTTTTCAGACCAAAGAGACAGATGATCTACTGCATGACATATCCTGAAAATTTTCCCAATTCAAATCACATGAGGGGATGAAAGGCGGTACAAGAGGTCAGAAGACTAACATTAGTGAACTACACATCATGATTGTCATGTATTTTAAAATTGAAAAGGAAATGGAAAAGCAGGATTCCTTGTTTTACCATGTGTGAGTGGAAATTCCCAGTTTGATGATGACATCACTCTTAATCTGAAAGCTTAAAAAAACCCAGAAAAAATACCAACATTTGTTTATCTGCCTTAATTGTTATATATCTGTGGGATGGATCAAAAAGGTCAGGGCAACACCAAGAATTCACCCCAGCAACAACCTCTTATTAAGTTAGACTAGTGAACAGGAACGCCTCACTGCCTACCCGGATATCATTTTACCAGGAACACTGGGGTATTGTCTGTGTTGCCAAGTGTGGGAGTCATTTTACTCATAAGCTGGACATTTTCATACCTCAGAGCACCGATGACATGTTAAGGGTCATGTCTTTGACATATTATGAAGTTTTCACTGAGGGTTAGAGGTCCAAGGGACCCTTTATAGAACAAAAAAGTTTATATTGTTCATTTTATAGTTGTTTGTTTCTGTCTTTGAGCTCAAATAAACTCAGGTTAACACAGACAATCCTAAACTGAGAGGGTGTTGGGTTTCTTCCAGGCAGGGCCTAGCTTGCCTCTATCAGATACTATTACAAGGTTCCTCTCATCATTTATTGAAGTGCTCTCCTCACCACCATTGGCTTGAGACTGGTTAGCTGTGGCGTTTGATCAACAAAGCGTGGGTAAGCAAATTATTCTCTTTTTGTCACAGCTGCTAACCATCAGGGTGGATACACTCCAAGCTTGGGCCGATGCAGAACGGGGAGGTTATGAGCCCACAGGACTCCAAGATATCTAGAGAAGAGGCCATGGAGGACCACAAGGCCCCTTGCCAGAATCAAGGATGTTCAGAGCCCACAGCTCCTCCACTTCCTCCCCCATCACCACCGCCAGCAGGACCACCAGAGTACCCGAGACCCAGGCTCATCTTCCACACTCAGCTGGCTCATGGGAGCCCAACAGGGCGTATTCATGGATTCACCAATGTCAAGGAACTGTATGCCAAGATTGCTGAGGTTTTCAACATTTCTCCCTCAGAGGTAACAAGAATACAAAATCATATTTCTCATTAAATTGAAAGAAAGAAACTTTTTAATTGTTGCAGTTTTGTTGTCTGGTTAGTGATAAATGTTTTAGGTATTCCTTCTAGTGTTTCTTTCTCTCCAAGATGTAGCCTTATTGATTATTTGAACCCACCACTGCCAGACTTTGGACTCATTTGCGCTGATAATACTCATTAGTGGAAAAAAAGAACTAGCTATAGTTTTCTTATCAGCAAACTCTGCGTAAGAATTTGTATGAAATACACCTAATGAATTTTTATCACATGTTACATAAGTCTATTAGTCTGTTAGGTGTAACAGTACCCCTCTCTCTTTCTCAGTGATAGTAATTCTAGAAAACAGAGGCCAACTTTAAAATTGTTGTTAAGACAGAAATCTAATACAGTCAGTACAGCAAAACTCAAACCATGAGAAGGATTCCAAAAACTTCAAGAAGTGAGGTTACATCATTTCTGAGGAAAATTTTTATTAAACTTTAGTATTAATTAAACTTTTCTGTGATGGCCTTGGAAGCTGTTTTTGAACGATTGATAGTGAAGATGAAGAACCAGACACATCAGGGATACAATTTTGGAAAAGTTTTTAGAAAACGATACAACTTTGAACATCTCACGGGGTACTGTTCCATCTATGGACAATCTATGGCAAACCTACAAAGACGTGGCTGTCTACCTGAAGGGGCAAGAAAGTCAAGTAGGGTTTTAATAAGAGAAGCAGGGATAAAGCCCATGGTATATAGGAGTAGGAGCTGCAGAGATCCTCAGGTGATGCTTTTAAAACAAAAAGCTTTCACTGAAGAATAACCAGAAGAAAACTGCTGCTGAGAGAAAGCCAGAAGTATTTTAAGTTTGTCAGGACACATGTAAGAAGACACTCTCATTAGATGAAAGCATCATCAGACTTTTGGCCACGTGTGCAGCAGCGAACAGAAGCTGCACTATGACATTTACACTACTACATCTCAGCAGTTCAGTAAATGTACTACTATACATTTTTTGCACTACATTAATAGTGTTTATTTCTTATACTGTACAACTTAACTACATATATGCTTCCCTAAGTGCTGCTGGCAATTGTATTTCATTGCAACGATCTTGAAAGTCTTATTCTTCTTTATAGTATTGTTTTATTTTTCAGCATGGAGAGGCATGCAAGTCAGATTGTATGGTAAGGTTGAGCTACATATTGGTGAATTTTGTTAAATAACGGATAGACTGAGACAGAGGTTCCCTCTTTAGCAGGACCACAACTTTTAAAATACTCCTAGGGCTACAGCTGAATGGTTTCAGTCAAACATACACAATAGCTGGAAGAGAATAAAAGTCCAGACCTAAATAATTTTCAGAATATGTTGCAAAACTAGAAAACTAATGTTCACTGATGTTTGCCAATTGAATCTGACCAGATCTCATATTTTGAGTAAAGAAAAAAGCATTAGAAAAAAAATGTTTAGGGTTCAAAGGTTAAAAAAAAGAAGAAAAAAAGTAACATGTAATATTTTTCTTATACTTCCCAGTTGGTCTAATAACCACCCTCCACCCCCTCCACACCCTTTTTTTTGGCAATTAGGTTTGTTTTCATAGCATGAAGAAAAAAAAAGTGCTAAAGAAGGGGATAGATAAGGCACTGAAAGTAAAGAGGCCGGTAGTGGGCTATCAGGTGCCGACAGTCAACAGATAACTAACTTAGAGTCCTTGAGACAGGATTGCTCTTTGCTGCCAGTATTAAAGGCAGACAGCAAAGTCAGATTTTTTTTAAATTACTGATTTAAATGATTAAAAACAACCAAATAAAGGAAACTGCTTTATATATCTCAGAGAGGAAGTTTCTGAAATAAATCCTGAGCAGGTGAAGCAAGCTAAAGAATAACATTTGTGATGTCATAGGCCAAGCAAGTACATTTGAACCACAAATTTTAGTAACAGGACAAATAAGAGTGCCTGACATGGAAAAGAAAATAGAAAAAAAAGTACTTTGCAATGACATGATAAAGTCATGTGAAGAAAAGCTGAATTATACACTAAAATGAATGAAGGTTCAATAAAAAACCCTTTAAGCTACAACATGCTGCACATGAGAAATCAAGAAACATTTCAACCCCAAAACAAAGAAAAAGTACAGGATGTGAAAGAAAATTGTAAAATGTAATTGATGCATATTTGTGGTAAGTTTAATTGCTTTGCTAAACTTGTTGTTTCTACTTACCTGAATTCATGGATAGGTCATCTTCCCGTATTCAGCAATAAAATCATTTTTTTGCACCACTGGCCTTATATTGACTACTTATCAGTTATGAAGGCCACCATGAAGGCCTTTGGTATGCATATAAAAGATAACAGTTTATCATGTAAGACAGCTTACTACTATCTCTGTCTCTTTATATCTTTGCTTTCATTTGTCGCAAAATGCAACCAATACACAGTGAAATAGAAAGAAAGTAAAATAAAGATATCAGATCTGAAAGGATTTAGTGGTTCCTTGAGAAGTAAGTCTTTATATCTAATTTGACATTAGGTACATATGCATGTAACCTTCACACAAACAGGTAGTAGCAGCACTCAGACAACTCCAAACAAGCAAATACATTCAAGATAAAAAATTGATAAATGCATACAGTTAGTTATCAAACAACAATTGCCAACAGCATACAGTTGCTATGATTTATCTTCAGGACATTGTTAATACCTTAATAGGTGTGGCATCAAGAAATGTTGCTGCAGAACACTGGACCTCATGCAAATTTATAGAAAGACTTTCTTTAGATAATGTAAGGCGCTCCACATGTGATTCACATGCGTTTGACCTCAAATGGATAAAGAGGTGCAGCATTTACTGTAAAGAGCAGATTTGACTAACAACCTTGGACTCCAGCCCCCACTGCCTTACAGGCAAAAAAAAAAAAAAAAAAAAAATCTTTTGAATAGGATAAAAAAGATAATGCATTGCCTATTTATCTGGAGGTTTTTTTAATGGACTTTTGAACAGAGCTTGGCCTTGAAGTTGAAGGTTCATGATCGTTCTTGTCAGTTAGTTTGAAACCAGAAATATGAATAAGGGGAAACAGATCTTTAAAAGAGATGCATCTAAAAATGAGAGTGCAGCATTTTGTAAGACCCATTTCCAACTATTGTATAACTGTCATTATTGACTCACAATAAAAAATCTAAAATGTACTAATGCCACTTATTCTACTTATATGCTAATAGACCAATGGTGGCCCAGAGGTGTCAACACTAATACAAAAGCCAAAACATAAATTCAACAGCAGCAAAACTAATACTGTAAGGAAAAAACACATTTGAACATGCTGCTATTTTGCAAGTTGTCCTCCCATAGAAATCATGGAGGGGTCTGAAATTGTCATCATATGTGCATGTCTACTGTGAGAGACACAATCTAAAAAAAAAATAAAAAACACAAATCACAATACATGATTTTTAGCTATTTATTTTTATGATACAGCTGCAACTGTAATGTTTATTCATAATTCAGAAATGATGTATGAAACAAAGTTTATGAATACGGCTATTTTTACTTTCTCACATCCAGTGTTTCATCCCTTCCCCTCAGATCCTGAAACCAACTGCAGAATATCTTATCCTGAAGTATTTCATAAAAGGCTATTTTATTTGTATAGCAGAAATCATAAGATCATCTGCAGTTGTGGTTTCAGGATCTGAGGGGAAGAAATGAGACACCAGATCTAAGAATAGAAAATGTGCCATACTCATAAACTGCATTTTATCTATATTTACTGAATGATGAATAAACAGTACAAATCCAGTAATTTATATGACATCACCAACTTTCAGGGTAAAATATACCGTCCTTTTGATGAGCCTGTAAAAACGGAATATTTCTGCCTATTGAGCCACAATAGGACAGAACGACATGAGGGTTCCCACCACAAAATGGACAAAACATAACCTGGTAAAAGTCAGGAGGAATCAGTTAGCCTTCATACGAATACTCACAGTCTGTATGCACCATCATTACTCATTAGGTAGATTACAACAATGTTTTCTACCTTGGCTTAAAACATGGTTCCATAATTGGCAGTTGTTGATTTATAATGTGCAGAACACACAAATGAAAAAGTCGCTTTCATAAAAGACCCTCATTGTAACCAACTCAACATGTCTATGGGGAAGAGCTATACAATTTAACCAAAGTATACAATACAGTTGGAGTTCTGACCTCCAATTCGGAAATTTCTGAGTGATACATTCTCCGTTTTATGCACCATACTGTCCTTAAGCAATGCAAGCTATCCAAAATTGTCTGACTCAGTATCATGGTAACCACTGACTCCTTTCCATAGTAACCACTGACTCCTTTCCATGGTAACCACTGACTCACAAACGTAAAATCTAATGTTTCTCTCTTCACAGGGTTATCAAGCTGGCAGTTGTTAGTAAATCCACTTCCTGGCACAGCGGTACACCTGTACCATATATAACTAACGAAAAAAAATTCCCTTACTTATCAAAGGGGCAATATTTGCTTGTCCACAAGCAAAGTTCCTTCTTCTTAGATTTTTTTTGGCAGGTTAATTTGTTATGTATAATGACAAACTGTTGCGTGACTTCCGTTGCGGCTCTGTCCGTTGTGGCTTCTGTATTTCCATTGTGGCTTTTGTCTTAGGGTTTCGGCTTTTGAATTTATGTTGCAGCTTTTTTTATAAGTGTTTCGGCTTTTAAATTTATGTTGCGGCTTTTTTATAAGTGTCTCAGCTTTTGAATTTATGTTGCAGCTTTTGTATTAGCATGCGGCTTTTTATTTTATGTTGCAGCTTTTTTTTTTATTAGAGTTGCAACTTTTGTATTAGTGTTTCAGCTTTTATATTTCTGTTGACACCTCTGGGCTGCCGTAATACATAGAAAACATAGAAATCAGCAAACTTGAAGATAGTCAAAGGTTTCATTAAATTATTCAGATAAAAATGTACAATTCAAATATTATGTGGATTCGCCTTGTGATTTTTCTAAAGTGTGTGTTTCTGTAAAAGTTGATGATAAAAGATATAATGAAAACTAAAATTCAGGATCTAAGAAATGAGAATGTTATGTAGTGATCTATTTATCATAATTTTCTATACCTATCTTATCTTTTTTTTATCCTCACTGAATTATTTTTACTTTGTCCTATTAAGCACTGTGATCAACTTTAATATTTTAACATGCTCTATTAAAAAAAATAAAATCAACAATGAAAAGAATTATCTAGACAAAAATGCTGGACTAATCAAAAAATAGTTTCTGTGTACTACTCAGTACTTAATCAGTACTGGAGCTTCTTTGTCATGAATTGCTGCTCTAAGCTTTTCTTTATCATTGCTCTGTTAACAGCCAGCATCTTAATAAAGACCTTTATATAACTTTTCTGAGTTATAATCTTTTCCATTTTTCCTATACGTCTGATTTTCATTTTAGTTGTTTAGGTTTTTATTTGCCTGAGGTAGGTTAATTGAATAACATTACCGTATAACTTATTAAACAAACATTAAACATTAGCTTTTGTGAATAAACTATGGAGGGAGTTAAGTGCAATAAAATACCTTTGCATTCTATCTTTTTAAATTTTTGACTGATACACATGTTAGGATTCTTAAGTTATTTTTTATTGTGAAGATCATGTGATATAAAAAAAAATGCTTAAATCCTTTCTCGCTGCTGCTCTCTGCTGTTCATTTTCTATACTGCACTGCAAAGCCAAACAAAAAACCAAGCCAGAATGTGCTGCATCTACTGTAAAACGTAAAAACAGTACATATTCCATTTTTATAGAAACTGTATCATCTTATTATATTAACATTGCAAAGTATTTTTTTTTTACTTTGCAATGTTATAAAATGACAAACATAAAAACAATATGCAGTGTAATATGCAGTGGTAAACCTGTAAGAAAACAGTTTTGTCAAATTTTCAACTGAATGAAGGGGGGACTTCCAAAAGCATCTTTTTTTGTTCATATCCTGCCCTCAGATCCTTTTCTGTACCTTAAACTCTCATAAAGTGGACATGCAGAAACTGCTTGGAGGACAAATTGGACTAGAGGACTTCATCTTTGCTCATGTGAGAGGGGAGACGAAAGAAGTAGAGGTGACAAAGACTGAAGACGCGTTGGGTCTCACTATCACAGACAATGGAGCTGGATACGCTTTCATAAAGGTGAAAAATAGCCAAATTAATAAAGGACAGAAAATCTGGCCTTCTGTTGGCTGCTTAACCTTTTAATACAGTTGAAATATTTACAAACAAAACAAAATCTTATAATTTTTATGTTTTTATGGACCACACCTATGATAATGACTACATGGATTTATGAGTGCAAACTTTTTTTTTCCTGCAGAGAATAAAAGAAGGCAGCACCATTGACCGACTGAAGGCAGTTTGTGTCGGTGACCACATTGAAGCCATTAATGACCAGAGCATTGTAGGATGTCGACATTATGAGGTCGCCAAAATGCTAAAGGAGCAACCAAGAGGCCTTCCTTTCACTCTTCGCCTTGTCGAGCCCAAGAAAGCGTTTGGTGAGTGGAACAAGTAATTCATCAAAAAGAAATATTGGAGTCCAAATCCCATTCAACTGCACTAATATTTAATGGGAGTGTTGGTCTAGTGTGCTCTGAGAAGGTTGCAAGTACCCGCTTCGATCCCCACAGCCTGCACTCTGGGTCCCTGAGCTTGACCTTTAACCCCAGACTGCTATCTGCGTGTCACATAAAGGCAGCCCACTGCATCCCCAAGGGGATGGGTTAAATGCAGAGAGTGAATTTCCGAAATTCCACATTGTGGGGAAATAAAGGAATTTATATCACATATATTTTTTTTTTTTACATGTAGAGTATGTACCAAACTATCTGTGGATAAATGTAGCCTGGATAGTATGATAAAATGAAAGCATTTATAGGTCTGATGCTGGGAATTGGAGGCCATCCTGATTAGGGATGAAAATAATAATCATTTTGTATGGGTGCATCTATCCAACACACGATGATCTGATGCAACGACACGTCCGCAAGAGTATTATCGATTCATGTTTTTTCCCCCTCCGGTCTATTTTATCCATTTGCTCCTGTACGTAATTCTGACTCCCGTGCTGTGGTGGCTCTAAACATATTTTGCCCTCCTACATCGCTTCCTTTAGCCACTACCCTCTTTCCGCTTGCACACACACACTGGCATAAACAGTAGGCCAGACAGACATAGTGAATGAAGTACAGGCCTATTTTTTGTGACCATTTGCTGCTAGTGCAATTTTGCACTCATTGTACTGATTTTGTTGTTATTCTATTTATTTATTGTTATTCTATGGTGAATGTAGTATAGGCCTGTTTTTGTTACTTAATCTGCTAGTGCACTTATGCACTCATTGCAGTAGTTTTTGATCCAAGGCCATATAGAATCTTTAACACAGAGGCATTATTATTTTTCAGTGAATGAGATTTTCATAGGCCTAGGTGGAGTACAACTTTGCAACTTCTGTTATTTGCTGTTGTTTCTTAAATAAAAAGCATAACGATATTACAGCTTTCATTTATTTTAAATTTGAAACATTGTCTATCCGGTAAGGTAAAAAAAAAAAAGAATTAACCAAATCCTAATGTTTATCATTAAAGTAAGAAGAAAACGGGTTTGATAATTAGTGGCCCTGCCATAGCTGTAGATGTGAAACCTGTTGAGATCCTCCTCGGAAGTTAATATTCTAGGAAAACTCAGTTCACATGACTTAAAATAAGTTTTAGGAAAACAAATCAAAACTAAAATTTTTTTGGTATAACTCCTCTAAAGTTGCCAAATTTTTTAAAACCTAACAGCATTTCTTTTTACACCAAATCTTTAAAGTTTTTCTTAAACATATTTTGATTCTACCTCCCAGCTGAACCAAATCTTTAGTACATTCATTGAACATAATTTCTAGTTGGAAAAAAGTTCCACTGGTTCATTTGCGTCATTCCTCTCCCTGTTTAGATTAATGCTCAAACACTTCACACAAACACAGATGAAAATACAGAGAAATCAAAAACAAAATACTTTGTTTGCAAAGCTTGTTTACTGCCTTGAGAAGTCAATGTTCATGATATTATAAATATTTAATTGGAATTGTCTTACTGAGCTTGAAGAACAGAGTAGAAAGAAAGTTTCCTTTCTATTCTTTTCAGCCATTTATCCACCAGCAGCTCACCCTAAAGCCAAACCAAGCTTAACTGTTAGGTTAATTATTCACCTCAAGACGATGTCTTCTGAGGTGAATAATATTTATAGGTATTATTAATATGTTTTCTTGTTCCCCAAGCAACTCAAAGACGAGCACACCCAGCCTCTTTATTTTATTTTAATAGAGGAAATAAGTGCAATTCCTCTCAAATCTACCACATCACTGAACTCTACATACTTGTATGTGTACTTTTTGTCCTTTTCTTACGAACATGACTTTATTATGAATCATCTGCCAGAAACTGCTGCACTGAGGGCAGGAAATGCTCCCCTCCTTCCAGAATGACATGTTTGAATTTTTGTCATTTAAGTCAAACTTTGCAATCACTATATATTACTTACTGCACTTGAAAACAACTTCCCAAAAAAATGGTGCTAAAACTTAACAGGATCATAAAAACATAATTTATGTATTTTGTTCTTTAATAAAAAAAATACTTGAAAGGTAGTGCTAAAAATTAGCACTACTTCTTACTGATCGTGATGAAGGAAATGTTCCACCTCTCAGAACATTTGAAACAGCTTAATCTCTTTCATCATGCAACAAAGCAATGAGAAGTTTCCTTTTTCAAGTGGGAACGACTGAACTGAAAGCTTATCAGACAGGAAAGTAAAATCTACAGGATACTGTGTTACTTCCTGGTACTGATCTGAATCTTTGGTTCCCTCTCGTTTAAGTGTAACTCCATTCTGTATCCAAGTTCATTGTTCATGGAGGTCCTTCTGGACAGTAAACAGGAATGATTGTGATCCTGCAGAATGACAAAACAAGAACATTAGCACCTCATGTCCAAGGATCATAAGTGTGTGACTCATGTGGATGAATGTCCTTACTATAATCAAAGACGTGAAAAATTTAAATATAATCAAGAAAATGTTTTTAAGTAGTTACTTTTCATTTTAGAATAGAGCAACATTACCTCATTCTCATATTTGTAGTCGCCATTTTCTGCTTATCTATGACCGGGTTGTGGGGCCAGAGGTCCTAGCAGAGGCTCCCAGGCTTCCCTCTACCCAGATAAATTCAGCTCAAGGCATTTCCAGGTCATCTTAGAGACAGTCTCCTGTGTCCTGGGCTGTCCCCTGGGCATCCTCCCAGTGGACGACTTCTTTGCAGGCATTTTTTTATTTATTTTTCAAAATAGGATTTAGGTGGAAAATAACTTTTTAATGATCGAATCTATGGGAACTGGTTGTCTTTTCTTTTGTTGGTTAATAGTTAACTTCATATGTTGTCAAGGCCCATTAAGATGAAAGACCAACTGTCAGAATAAACTCTCTGGCGTTCTCCTGCCCTTCAGACCAAAATAAGGTCTTAAACCTCTGTTTTCATTTTAAATGCTTTATGACATAGTGTGATCTGGTTAATTTACAACCTCACCTTAGCAATAAGTGCAACTGGCATGCAATTTCTATTTTCAGAACACAATCTCAATATCAGTCTATATAAAATACCTAAAGACTTTCAGTGAAAAGATGCATAATGATGGATAAGACTGAAAGCAAAAATGACAAAAGGTGACATGTTGAAGCTCCTGCAAGAACACTGAACATGAGATCCCTCCACTCTCCCACATGCAAGAGTAAACAAGGCCAAATTCCCTTATTGTATCACCTCATTTGTTTTTTTTTATTTGGCCTCCTTGATTTGGCCATTTTATTTAAACCCGGTACTTGCAGACCTGATTTGTTTCTATGTGTTCTTGTGTGGGAGAAACACTCAATAGATGGAGAGACATCTTAGGACCAAACCTAAAAGAGTGAACATTAAATTTGTTGTAGGAGCCGCTGTGTATTACAGTCGTGAATATACACACATACATTCATATGAATTTCTCTTTGAACCCCAGTCGGCCTGAGCAGATGGCC